TTAAAAGCATACCTGATGAATCTCATTTGTAGTACAAGGTTGAGAACCAGTCTTATAGATGTTAGATTGTTACCCCCACTTAACAGATGGGGAAATTAAGGCTCAGAGAGGTGAAGAAATAATTGTTCGGAGTTGAAAGGTTTGGCACAGTAAAGAAAAGGAGAGCCAGGCTAAATTTCTCAAAGGAAGGGAAAGTTTATTGCGCCCTGGGCGGACCTCATGCAGGTGGGGGTCAGTGAAGCCTCGCATGTTGTCAGGGGGAAGCAGGGTTTTATAGGGTGAGGAGAGGTCAGGTGGGATACTCATATGGCAGGAAGAGATTCTTGTGGCAGGTAGAGGTTCTTTGTCTGAGAAGAGACCCATAGGGAGAGGGGGGAGGCTCATTGTCTGAATCCTCCAGGCAGGTTTCCGCATTCCTGCCCCGAGGTGGGCTACCTGGTGGGTTTTTGCATTCCAGCCTCCAGCATGGACCTTTCAAGGGCCACCTTGCTAGTGAGTGTGTTGTGGTTTTTGGAATCCGTGGGTTTGGAGTGCGGGGTCCTTAGGTTCACTCTGGGAAAGGTTTCATCAGAGCTCCCTTTTTAGTGACACATGGCGAGTTTCCCTGGTGAGTTTCTCCACAAGACAGAGAAGGTAGTTATATTTATTTATTTATTTGTTTGTTTGTTTGTTTATTTATTTATTTTAAAGATTTATTTTTATTTATTTATATAAGCACTGGGTACAATCAGAAGCGCGGGAGGGTGAGAGAATTCCCCAGAGCCAGAGCAGGCAACAGAACAGGCAGAATGACAAAATACACTGCTGAGGGGAGCAGCGGGCATGGCAGGAGAGGTCTGCGCACCATGTGGGACCCTCACCGGTGGCCAGGGATCGAACCAGTACTGCAGAGGTTGTGGGCAGTTCACGGTCCTGCGCTTAACCGCTGTGCTACCAGGGGAGGCCCGGTAGTTATATTTAAAGGGCAGGTTTATTAGGAGAAGGGACCGGAAAAGTAAAGTACACTTGCATAGACAGAAGCGGGCAGGAAATGCTGATAGAGGCCTGCATGGTTGCAGGGGGGCGGCCTTGAGGAGGGAGGTCAATAAAGGGAAGTCCCAGCATGGTACAGGTCTCAGGCAGGCAGGAAGGCTGCTGCCCTGCAGAGGAGAGTTGGTGAAAAGAAGCACCTGCATAGTCATAGGTGAGCAGAAGGGAGTGCTGCCCTGAGCCTGTGCAGACACTGAACTGATATATTCTTCTATTTGGGAGGGGCTCCCTTCTTGTGAGTCATCAGTTGGTTGCTAATTTTGGATAACTATGTTGAATTTGAAAGGGAGATTCTACAATGGGCTCCATATCCATATCTTTACCTTTGGAAGCACCCTCCCTGGGATCCCTGCTTGGATGTTATGCTTTGTAATCTAGGACTCTGTGACTAAGGATACTGGTCTGCACCTAAGGATACTAGTTTCTGCAACTGTGTTGTCTGTGCCTAAGGATCTTGGTTTCCATAGCTGTGTCAATGTCTATGCTAATCTCTTCTACTGCCACCTCCTTGTGAGCCAGGTTTCTGGTCTTGTGGCGCACCTTCTTTTCAGTTTTTTTTTCCTATTCTTGTCCTCCATCAAGTGGAAGAGATAAGAGGGAGTCCTGACGCCTTGACTTTTGGGTCACTATTTTTCCCTATTGTCCTTTTGGCTTAAACTATGGAGTATAAGCACTGATTTCCTTTTCCCTGAGCATTCTCCAGTTCTAGGCAAATGATGGTCTAGGGCACTATTATTAAAGGGATATTTTCAGCCTCCACTTGTACAAAGTGAAGTGTTATTTCACACAAACTTCATTTTCCACAGCAGTGGAGTGGGCATGGTCTGCCTTTTGAAGAAGAGGGTAAGAACCTATGGAGAAATGAGACTGGAGCAAAAGCCACACCATTGGTTCATGGCAGAACCAAGATTCAAATTCAGGCTTTTTGAAACAATTCAGCATTCTTTTTGTTAGGGGGAAAAGGATGTCCTAAAGCTAATTCATACAGGCTTTGTAGACTCCACTTTTTCCTGTGATTTTGAAGTATTTGCTGTCTTGTTTTGGCTAATGCCTCCAGATGTGTTTTTTTTTGGCTTGAACTGATGAACTGTTTTTCCAGGAATAGAGGACTTTTGCTTTCCACAATGGACAAATACCTGAAGGGACTGGTTTTCTTTCACACTGGAACCTGGAAAAATTTTTCATCTGAGACTGCATCCCAACATCCATATATTCGATCTTCATCACCATGGAAATGGTGGCAAAAAGTGAAAGGGGGGAATTGTTATGGGGAAAAGGATGTCCTAAAGCTAATTCCATACAGGCTTTGTAGACTCCACCCCCAACTCCAGACCGAAGCCAAAAGACACTGGGAACTCCAAATCCCATCACCACCAAAGGGAAGGTGGCTGGGACCTGAGGATGGGGTTAAGCAGCCAGGTATGGTATAAAGCCAGACATGTGGGCTTTGGTGGGGTCCCCCCATTTTGGCTCCCCGCCAGCTCGCAGCGTTCGGCCAGCTCTGAGAGTGCCCTTGGGTTTCCAGGTCGGCGGATCGGGTAGGACGCAGTAAAGACTTTATTTCCCTATTTTATTTCCCTATTTTCTCCCTGAGTTGTACATTTCCTTAATTCCCTTTCCCTTGTAAATAAACCTTTTATTAACCTTTTGTGTATGCCTGTAGTGGAGTATTAATGGGTCCCTTTTAAGCGCACGGGTGAGGACCCACAGCCAGGTAACCCGTTTTATTTTATATCAGGGTTGCCCTATAATATTTTCATCACTCACCCCATGAGAGAGAATTTAAACCAACTTGATCCAATCTTTGTTCAAAGTCTTTCTAAACACCCTTCACATCTTCCTTATCTAAAAGAGAAAGGTTTTTGAACAAAAATGGACTGGACTTGATGCGACTAAATGTAATCCCTTCTTTCATAAAAGGGAAGGATGGCAACACGAACTGTGAGCTTTCATTCCCAGTATGATTTCTGAAGCCTCAGAGTAATCACAGAGAATCTGGCCATCAGATTCTGGTCAAAGTAAGGTGATGTCATTTTCATCTAACGCAGTCTTGTTGACTGCTACAAGATGACCATCCTGGTTTTCATTCTACCCACACCCTGACCAGCCCTATGCATGAGTGTCAAACCAGAGCTGCTCAATTCCTATCTGTAATTCTAGCTGCATTCCGGTACTGATCCTGAATAGTTAGAGAATCCAGGTATTGTACCTTTCAAATACAGGTCCTAGGTCCAAACCCTGGGCCCCATATTCACTAATTAGTGTGGGGGAATCAAGTCATTTTCACTTTAATTGTCCCAACTAAGCAATAGGAAGAATAATGCCGATTCCAAGTTGTCTAATGTATAAATTGGGTGAGTATCTAATGACAGTGGGTACAAGTGCAGTCGCAGCTAGTCCTGCTTTGAATCATTACAGATGTCATTTGTGTTTCTAAGCCCGATTTTGTAATTCTACCTTGTTTGCTCCTTAGATTAAGAACTCCTGCTTTATCAAACTATCCAGGACTCATTTTTTTTTTTTTTGCACTGAATTACTTCTCACTAATCCTTCCATGGGTCTAAATTTTGCCCATGCTCCAACTCCTGGCTTGATCATCCTGATGGAACATCATCTGCCTTGTTTCATGTTCTTCTATGATACCTACTATTCCCTCAGCTAGATATTGTTGGTCTTGACAGTGTGATCAGGTTTGAATGTTCATTATCTCCCAATGAACACAAGAAACCACTGATAGTACAGAGGTCTCCAAGCTCTTTAGGGAGAAGGTTTTTCCTTAAAGGGCAAAGAGCAAAGTAAAGATAGTGGGAATCAGAAAAACAAAGGAGATTTAATTCTCATATTTTTGAGGATTGAGTGTTCAGAATAACATGCTGGGTACATGTTGTGGGGAAAGTGACTTGACTTCTGCTGGTGGCCATCCCTTTCCCGGTATGGAGCTTACCTTCTGTACTTACCTTCTTTTTATAGTAAACCATCCCGGAGAAAACTATCAAGGTTTCTGGGCCCTCAGGGGTTACAAAACTGGAAAGTAATGTTTGTTGTAGGAAATGTTGTCACTTTTGATATCTTAGAATTTGACTTGATTAGCTGAAAAATTTTGAGTAGTCTTTTTAAAGTTGGTATTTGGGGTAAATATATTCTAACACCAGCATGCACATATTCTATTTCTACCTAGTATAAGGGCTATAAAACTGATAATCCACATGTAGAGTATTTCAGCTGCAACTTAAGCGGTACAACCTGTAGGCCAAGCATGTCTTGAATACTCATTATGACGAAATGCATGTTGTTATTCCTATTTTACAGATGAGAAAACTGAGGTGTAGAGAAAGTAATTAATTTAGTACAAGTTAGCTTATCCAAAATCAGCAAGCTTATCCAAAATCAAGAAGCAGTGAAGGTGAAATTTGACTTACTCCTGTGTGATTTCAACATTGTACTCATAACTACAAAATGATACTGCTTAGAAAATCCAGAGAAACTCACTTCCTTCCATCTCTCACTTCCTTCTCACACTCAGCGCCCTTCAGGAAAGAATTAGATAGGGATTCAGTGCTATTATTTATCTGTATAAATGTAATTTTTCCCAGCCTGCTTCCTCATTGTAAAAGTAGAGGACTGAACTCTTCTAGAAAACCCTGTAAAGCTCCATTGTTTTATTATTATTCACATGTGAATACTTCCAGTCAAAGCAAAAAGCTACTGCTAAAGGGAAGGAATTAACACTCCACAATTTATTCTACATTTCATTAACAATTAGTTATGTTAAATGCCATTCAATTTATTTCTACCATCAAGTCCTGGGAAGGTGCCCATACTTCTTGTAACTTTCCAATAACTCTCCATCACCAACTGAGTTAATTTCCCAGGCAGGCAAGCATCAGGTTTTAATTCCCAACCTTTAATATTCTCCAGCCCTTGGGCCAGTGGTGGACATACATGAGCTGATGTTGGGGTTAGAATGCCCTGTCTGCATTGAGAAAACCAACTTTAACAGACTACAGGTATGGAACTGTTTTCACTAAGTCCAGTGCTATTATACCTACAGTGATTTGGGGTGGCAGGTGCCATTAGTTTATAAGAGTACAGTTTTCAGCTCCATACAAAATATTACCTGCTCACCAAAGCCTTCGCTTGCCACTATAGCCTGAAGTCAAGGAATCATAAAATTACTTGCAAGACAAAACAGTAGTGGCAGGGAAATTAGCCATTTGTATACTTACTACATGCCAAACACAACACTAAATGCTTTTGAGTATTTTTGTCTCTCATCTTGACAGTAGCCCAATGAGGTTAAGTATTCTGGTTATCCTCATCTTACCTTTGAGGAAATAAACTGTTTTTTTTTTTTTTCATTGCGTCAGTCATTGGCAATTTTATGGCTGCATACTAAATTACCTCCAAATATATCAGCTTAAACCAATAAATACTATCTCACAAAGATTCTGAGCACCAGAAATCTGAGAGCGCTTGGATTGGTGATTCATGCTTTTGCAATGAAGATACTACTAAAATTCATCAGAATTACTGACAGAAAAGACTCTTTGGAAGTCAGCACCAGTTTAGGCTAAATTGCCACAATACAAACCCACCATATGATTTCTGCTTGTTTGTTTTTTGGCAGTCTCCTTAGTAGTATCTACAAAGCTATGTACACATTATACACCATAGTCCAACAAGAAACCAAACACATTAGGCCTCTGCTTTTGTATATACTAATTCTCCTGTGTGGAATTTTTTATTCCCACCCACAACCAGCTTTAGGGGCAGGAGGCACATGTACAGGGCCCTGTGCTGAGAAGAGCCCAGATCTGGATTCACTAATTAGCACATTTAGACCTTCAATAAAAATCAATGGAGTTGAATACTTTACAGCAGATTTGTCACCTCTCTTTTCAGTCTCTGTGTCAAGAAAACCACTGATGATAAACTCTTTACTTCTCCAAAGAGTCAACTTTAGACAACTTTGAACAGCAGTGATAAATAGAAAATTCTTCCTCAAAAAGAAACTTATGTGCATCTACACTTGTCTACCTATATGTCTACCTCTGTTCATATTTTCACTAGTCAAAAATAGAAAAAGGGAATCTGTTCTCTCTTCTAATGATATCCTTTATGTAGATGAAGGCAGAACTCAAATACTGCCTCTTATTCTGTTTGTATTTGCATTTTAAATATCTCTGTGACCTGGATCCATGTTTAGTATATTGATATCTTTGTTTTATTCACAGTAAGTAAGAATTCTTCAGGCATCAAACTTAAGTGGTCCCGATCGGGGGCAACTGGAATGACTTGGCTCTCCTCCATGTGTCTTCTCAACCTCCTGTAGGCTGTTCTGGGCATGTATTCATGGTGATAGAGGATGAATAAAAGAGAAGACACACCCATCTAGCAAATTCTTTCCTGGTTTTTGTTCGTGTCACATCCCTTTGGCCAGTAAGGTGGTCCACCATCCTGATTGTTCTCATTGAGGGATTTCCCAGTGATTCGGGAGCTTCCCTGAATGTGGGGTCCTCCCTCCATACAAAAACAAAGAGAATGCAGGTTGGTCACCTGTCTAGTCACCTGGCCAGGTCTGGAGCAAGAGTGGGAGGCAACGCAAAGCACAGAGTTTGGATATGAGGAGCAAAGGACTGGGGGTAATCAATCTACTGCTGATGGGCTGTGTGTTTTTCACTTCACTACTAAACCAACTTTTAGACCAAGTGAGTATATGTGGTCTTTATTTTCTGTCTTAAACTAATAAGATACCAGACAACAGTCAAGGAAAATGGAAGGCCCATTGCTAAAAAACAGTGGTTTTTATTTATTTTTTAAAATCTTTATACAGCTATGTTGCAAGTTGATAGCAGAGGTCTCTTAGGCAGCTGCTCCCTAGAGGATGCCCAGAACAATCCTACCCACTTCCCAATTAAGCCCAGGTGAACGTGGCCCTGACCTGTAGTTCTGAGTGTCAGTGCAGTGCCAAAACAACTGGATGGGAAAATGTAAAATACAGAAAGCAGGGCTTTTGTTTCTGTTTCTGTTTTGTCTCCACTGTTCCAAAGGATTTCTCATTGGGTTTTCTCTTAAGTCAGGTCAAACCCTTGCACAATGCTCTGGCAGGCAGAACCTTCACCTGTCCTCACCTACTCCTCTCACTTATTTCTCTATTATTGACACTCTGCTTCTAACAGGAAGTGCTTCTTCAGACAGTCATTCATTCTTCATCCACTTATCAAGCACACATTATTGATGATATTGTGCTACATACAAGGAATATAAGGATGACTAAGTCTAAATTAGCAACTTCAAAAGAGCTAGTAGCAGAGATAGACTTTAAACAGATAAGGGGTACACATGTTTATGTAAGATAAAAAGTGCCAACATAGAGATCTGTGAAAGTGAATCTGAAAAGATGGTACTGCTTTCTTCACCTAGACAAGTCATGAAAGATTTCAGAGATGAAGTGCTTTGGACCAGGTCTGGAAGGATGACTAGAAGCGCACTTGTTCCTAAAGCAGAGAAGTTAAGGTCACAGTCTTTAGCATCAGACAAGTTTGGGATGATACTCTGCCACCACCAATCTGTGTGACCTTGGGTAAGTTGATTAACTTCCCATTTTCCACTTTAATTTTCTCATGAATAAAATGGTCTTTTAAGAATTAAACGAGATGGAATAATGTGTGTGGGTGTATATATGTACACCCACATATGGTTGTTAGCACTGTGCTTCTCAGAAGGAAATCACTCAAAGTGTAGCTATTCCCATCAAGGTTATTTGCAAAAAAAAAAAAAAAAAAAAAAAAAAAAAAAAAAAAAAAAAAAAAAGGTTAGAACAGAAGATTCCAAATAGAGAAAACATTAAATTCAGGCAAAAGGAAAAGAATGGCATATTGTTGGAATGAAAAAGAACAAAAGTCTAATTAGGTTATTTGAGGTATACGTCAAGGTGGACTGCAGAAGTACTTAATCAATTGTTAAGGAGACAAGGTTGGAGAGGTGACAGGACAAATGAGAGTGATGGGCTGAAGTCTATGTCAAGGAATCCTGCATGCATTTGGGTGGAGATGGTCATGAAATAATAGAGAGCTGTTAAGCTCCATTAGGATACAAGAAGATGCATAAGTTTGGGGGCCTTACCGCTTCCTATAGAGACCTGACAAAGTGTTTTGCTTAGTGTAGATGCTGCACAGATATTTGCAGAATGAGCAAATGAGTGAGTGGTAATGTCATCTGGAAGGTAAACAGACAACAGGATGCTATATAGCAGTTAAAGGTGAATACTATCCACTTGACATGTCAATGGCCATGGAATATGTTAGGAAAAAGCTAGGAGGCAGAACTTAGGACTTGTTCACTGACTGGCTGGGATGGCAAGAAGGATATGGGTGATCCAGAATAGACTGTATGGCTAGGCAGGATCCTATTGCAGCAGGATTCTTAGAGAATCAGCCTTTTTTTCCTCAAATTTAATTAATTTGTCAAGTTCCTTACATAACTATATAATTTGGGGGATAGATACATTTTCAGACTTCCATATGTGCACACATTTCACTCATCCTCCACCAAAACTCCTGTGCCAAGGCCTTATCTTCTTCCCCACCCCCTACTCCTCTGGCAACCAGTATATTTTCACAGAGTCTAAGAATTATTTTTTCTGTGCTTTGCCAGTTTTCTTTGGTAATTTGTATTCCACAAATAACTGAAACCATCAAGTATCTGTCTTTCACTTTCTGACCTATTTCACTTAGCATAATCTCCTCAAGATTCATCCATTTTGCCTCAAAAGGCACTATTTCATCTTTCTAAAAAGTTGAGCAGTATTCCATTGAGTATATATTCCACAATTTCCTTATCCAGTTGTCTGCTGTTGGGCACCTAGGTTGGTGCCCTGACTTGGCCATTGTGAATAATGCTGCTATGAACATAGGAGTGCATAAATCTTTTCATTTTAGAGTTTCATATTCTTTGTGTACAGACCTAGCAGTTCAATCCTTTTTTGCTGGTTCAGTTAGAATGTTTTGCTATATTTGTTTGCAATAGTGTTGAGAATGTCAAATGAGATAATAGATTTGCACTTTGTAAGTTGTAAAACAGCTGTGTAATATTGAAGTATTTTCATTTATTCATGGATAGTTTGAATGCCTATTATGCACCAGGCATAATTCTAGGTGCTGGGAATATAGCATTAAATAGACAATGACTCATTGTTTGTGGGGTTTGCATTCTATTATAATTGCTCTGATTTGAACTTGGCCAAAAATCACACATGCTCCTCCACTCAGTAAGAGTAAATTGAATTAGTTCATAATAACAGCTTTATAAACATAATTTTGTTTATTACTGGGAGAATCCTGAAAAAAAGTTTATCATTCCCATTTAAAAGATGAAAACATGGAGACATCAACTATTTAATTAACTATCATGTCAAGGTTTACAGTGCTGCGAAATAGTAAATCCATAATTTGGAACTTGGTGGCTGGGGAAGAGGGAGTCAGTATGGACTCCATCAGAGAGGGTATGGGTATGGCATGGAAATATTGAATGATTTGGAAAGGCATAATAAATACCACAAATATTTGTTTGTAAACTACAGTGAATCCTCTTTCTTTTCATAATTTAAGCTATACATTCAAAGCACAATCAATGTCCTCTGGGGCATGAGTAAAAAACAATTAGGAAACTGTCTCCTTGACAAAAGATTGGCGGGGCTGCATAAAGACCTTTTGTGGTTAAGAATCTCAGTCACTTACATTTTCAACCGAAAACTATTAAAAACAACATCTCAACAACCCCATGAAGTTAAATACCCTTGTTAAAGTGATCACATATATTCCAGTTAAATAATAGTCGTGGGAGAGGGCAATTAGCAGATGCGGTCAGGAGAGAAAAAGATATGTTTTCAGATGAGATTGGAAATGAGATGGAGAGTCAATGAGGCAGAAATATACAAGACTCTTTTTTTTTCCCCCTGAAGTTTCTCGAATTCTGTTACTAATGATACCTTAAGATTCAAGGAGCTCTGACCGGAAAAGACACATTGCCTTCAAGGAGGTTCAAGGAGACTGACACTGAGTGTGTCCATCTCCTCTCTCCAACTAGGTCTCTCCAGATCGCTCCATCCTTGTTGCATCTGTTTATCATTTGAATTAAGAAGGAATCAAAGAATATTTATGTTGTGGCACCTAATCCACAGGGAAGAAGGCTCCCATATGCACTCCCGTTCTCACCCCATCTTTCCCCCAACCCCTAGAAACAGCAAATAAGACATTCAGCTCACATTCTATTTCCCAATTCCTGCAAGTGTGCTTCAAATTCCATCACTATTTTGCCATCATTTGGAATCGTGATTTTTTTTTTGTTTGTTTTCTAGCCTAGCTGCAGAAATGCAAATAACCACTTGTGGTCTTCCACAAGGACTATATTTTTAAGGAAAGGTTTGCTGCATTTTTAATGAAGATGGCAGATAGTAGAAATGCCTGTGGATCTGTGAGAGAGAAAAAGGTTTTGTGTTCAGATGACCCACATCCAAATCCTGACCCCTACCTTGACTAGCCTTTGTCTGTCTTGCTCATCACTGTATCCAGTCAACCAAGAATACATCTTGGTGATTTAATCAATATTTGTTAAAAAATGGATGTGTGACCTTGGACTAATCTCCTTCTCACTCTCTTTTCAACACTCACTCACTCTGGTGCTCTCACACTCTCCTCATGACAAAAGTCCTTTAATCGTAGTACTTGAAGCACTGGATGAAATAATTTGTCAAATTCTGACCCAGCTCCTGCTCTACAATAAATATTTTTTAAGTATCATTTTCCTTCCCCTCATAATTAGAAAAATCAAGTGCCAGCTACTTTTATTAGACCTACCCAGGATCAGATCTGAGACTTGATTTCCTCCTTGAACAAAGGGAAGTAGAGTTGACCCTTGAGCAACTGAGAGTCCCCATAGTTGAAAATCCATATATAACTTTTATTGGGCCCTACAGATCTAAAGTCTTTATATTTAGTTGAATCTGTGAATGTGGAAACTGAAAATAGAAACCCAAAAAATTAAGTGGACCTGCCTAGTTTAAACCCATGTTGTTCAAGAATCAACGGTATAAATATATTCCATCCATCTCTCAGAGTTACGCTGAAGAGTACAAGAGTTCATGGAACAGCTAAGTGCTGTTTAAATATTTATCCGTATCCCTCATGATTGTATAGATTTGGGTCAAATGCTCTCACTGGAGACTTATCTCCTTTTGGTTGTGGAAGCATCTGCTGTATCCATGGCAATCTTAGAGCCATTATTTTAAAAATCTCAGTATGTTTTCATTAACTAAGTCCACCTCTAAGAAACTGGATGCTTTCTAGTGCATCTAATTACACAAGGCAAAAGATCCTAAAGGAATTTATGTGGCCTCAAGGAGCATTATTAATGGGGGTCCCTTCTAGGGATGTAATTTTGGAAGCAATTTTCCATGAAATTGCTGAATGTGTGTATCCATATAAATTTGAGCCCATTTGGTACAATTCTCATTTAGTCCAATCATTGCACTAATGATATTTTTAAACAGATATTCTCTGTTTAAATGTAAGAGGGAGACTTTTATCAGTTACATGTGTCTGGAAAATATACTTCAAGCTGAATCATCAGATGAATATTTCTGAGGGTTTCCTTATATATATATATATATATATATATATATTTTTTTTTTTTCTATTTACCTTCTTTGATAGAGCACCAAGGCTTTTGCAATTGAGTAAGAAAAAGCTTTGGGTCACTGAGTTGTCTTCAGTTAGGACTGAATCATATGTCAACTAAAGGAATTACATTTCATCCCATTTTGTGACCTGACAGACTAACATAGCAAGTGGCTTGAAAGATGAATTTTGGAACTGTGCAGACCCAGTTTGAATTCTGGATCTGCCCCAATGCAGCACATTGTACTAAAGCTTTAGTTTTTCATCCTTAAAAAGGGACCTAGTGATATCAATCTCCAAAGGTCTCCCAGGGTTGTATTCTGAAAGAAAAGAATCTAAAAATATAGGTAAAGTGCTTAGCACAATGCCTAGCATATAATGGGCTCATTAAATGATTGATGTTTATGACATCCTCACAGGATACTGATGCTGAATAAAACCAAATTAAACATGTGAGTGTGTGTATGTGTGTACTCAGAGTCCAAAATGGCTATGTAATAGGTTGAAATGAATTCAAAGTGGCAGATAATTAAATAGTAGTGCAAAAAGTAAAATGTACTTCAAGGGACCTAGGATGAGTCAGCCAGTCTCCTCTATCTCTGGTGAAAACTAAAGTACAGAGAGGACAAGTGATGTGCCATAGCTCATGGAAGTAATGAGGCTCGATGACACAAAATCCTAGTTCAGTATCATCTCATTAAAGCCTCTCATCTTCCAGAGTTCACACAACCCTTCTCTCCATCTGCTGCCATCAGTTTACCTTCACTCTTTACATATATTATCAGGCTTCTGTTTGAGAAATAAAACTTGTTATAGCACCTTACACCACACAGCTTATGTTTCTATGTCTTCCCAAGACAGAAAAGTGAGTGAGAGTGTAGTAAGGTATCTG